GGCCCCGCCCCCCGCGCGCCCGAGGCTGCGGCCCGCCACCAATCGCAGCGCGGCTCTGTGCTGAGCCGCTATTCCCGCGGGGGGAGGGGGGAGCCTGGTGCTCTCCCAGCTGGGAGGCTCTCGCGCAGCCGTCGCCCGACCCGGCAGGGAGCCCCGCCGGGGGCAGCATGGAGGGGGGCTTGGGGGGGGGAGGAGGCGGACTGCGGGGTCCTTGGTGGCTCTCTGAGCTGGGTTATGCGCAGACGTTTCATGAACCAGTGTAGGTAACATCACCAGCGCTAGAAGGGTTGCAGGGAGGAGGAGGAGGTCCGTGGGGTCCTTGGTGCTCTCTGAGCTGGGTTGTCTTCTTGCAGACGTTTCATGACCCAACTAGGTAACATCATCAGTGTTAGTAAGGAATGGGGGTTTGCAGAAAGGAGAGGAAGAAAGGGAGGGAGGGAGGGAGGAGAAAGAGCAGGAGGAAGAAAGGAGGGAGGGAGGAGGGAGAAGTCCGTGGGGTCCTTGGTGCCCTCTGAGCTGGGTTGTCGTCTTGCAGACGTTTCATGACCTAACTAGGTAACATCATTAGTAAGGAATGGGGTTTGCAGAAAGGAGAGGAAGGAAGGAAGGAAGGAAGGAAGGAAAGAGGGAGGGAGGGAGGGAGGGAGGAGAAAGAGCAGGAGGAGGAAAGGAGAGAGGGAGGAGGGGAGGTCCGTGGGGTACTTGGTGCCCTCTGAGCTGGGTTGTCTTGCAGACGTTTCATGACCAAACTAGGTAACATCATCAGTGCTACTAAGGACTGGGGTTTGCTGTCAATTTATATTCTGGTGGCTTGCCTGTCTGCAAAAAAAGAAGCAAACTCAAAAGATTACCAAGGACCCCATAGTCCTCCTCCTCCTCCTCGCAAACCCAACTCCCTTCTAGCACTGATGATGTTACCTAGTTGGGTTCGTGAAACGTCTGCAAGAAAACCATCAGGCTCAGAGAGCCCCAGGGACCCCTCATTCCAGCTCCGAGCTACAAAGATTCTCCTTTCTTGGTGCTTTTCTCCTGCCCACTTAGCCCGGGAGCCACGCCCACCTCCTGAGAAGGGAGTCCCGGGGGGGCCACGCGAGGGGCGCCCTTCTCCCCTCGGACCGTCCTGCCCGCGGGGGGAGGCGGTCCCGCTGCCCTTTCCCTTGCGGGGCTTTGAACCTGAGTTTGGGGCAGCCGTTGTTCCGCAAAAATTCCTGGGCACGCGGGAAGGGTCTTCCGCGGGGGAGTTGCAAAGCCCCCAGCCCCCCCCCCGCCTCTGCCCCCCGGCTTTGCAAGGGGAGAGAAAATAAAATAATAAAAAAACTTGGCGTGCCCCGTGTGAGGCTCGAACTCACGACCTTCAGATTATGAGACTGACGCGCTGCCTACTGCGCCAACGAGGCTCCTGTCGAAATGCTCGCTCTGGAGCCCCCTTGAGGCCGAGCCTGCCCTTTCCTTTTTGGGGGGGAGACTGGCTGGAACGGTCCTGGAGCCCTCCCAGCGCTGCTCCGCGCGACCCCGTTTCTCCGGTAGTCCGAGGAAAAGAGTGCAGGCCAAGTCTGGCCGCCGGAAAGCAACAGGGGGCTGCACCGAAACCGGCATGAAATCGTTTGGGGGAGAAAAAAAACTCACTTTCACTCATAAAAAATTGCATTATTAAAATTGCATTATTATTAATAAATTGCCTCCGTACAGGGGGTCTTCGACCGCGTGTCGGTGCCCACAGGCGTCCCCCAGGGCTTGTTTTTAATGTCCCAGAGACGTTGGTCTCGTTTTTAACTAATATTTTGTATTCTGCATAATGCAGTACAGATGTTGAAAAATAACTTCCCTGGAACCATGCCTTACTCATTTAGAAAGGCAGACTACTACGGTGAATAACGTTCCAGTGGGGCACAGAATTATTGCCAGGTTCGGTCCTGTGCTGCGGGTTCAAAGCAGGTGGATCAAAACTGCGACTGTCATAAATACGAGTCAGTTGCCAAGCCTCTAATTCTGATCACGTGACCACAGGGATGCTGCAAACAGTTATTAAGTGTGAAAAATAGTCCTAAGTCGCTTTTTTTCACTGCTGTTTGAACTGTCACTAAATGAACTGTTGTAAATCAAGGACAATACAACTTTTCAGCAAAGAAAGCAATTGCAGCAATTAAAGTCTGACCAGAATTACTGAACATAAATATAGAATCCGATGCATGTTTAATCAGGAATAAGTTCTTTTCTTTGCCCATATTCAGTGCGGTTTTCACTGACAATGGCCAACTTTGCAATTCCCAGCACTTTTGCTTTGGGATTAAATTCCACTAACTCAACAGGATTTATTTCCGAGGAGTCATAAACGTGGCTTGTTGACAGGTTGAATCAAGGGGGCCCTTGGTGCTCTCTGAGTTTGCTTGTTTTCTTGCAGACGTTTCTTTACCCAACCCGGTATCATCATCAGTGCTGGTGATCTTAGCGCTGACTAGCACTGATGATGTTACCTAGTCTGGGTAATGAAACGTCTGCAAGAAAACAAACAAGCTAAGAGAGCACCAAGGTCCCCGCCTGTCAACCCTCAGCTACAAATATTCTCCTTTAGTCGCACAGGTTGAATCTCATGACGTCGCGCACAAGGCAGGCAGCCAAGGAGCCTTGAGGGAATGACTCATCATTGCTCTGGCTCAATGCATTTGAAAAAATCAATCATTATTAAAAATTCACCACACCCTGTCACATTACTGCCACCAAGAAAGAGCCATCGCCATCGGCTTATAGCATCTGCAATACAGGACTCTGAATGCTTCAGGTTTAACCACAATTAAACCCGAGACATCACAATCAAAACCTGGCTTGTTGTTACCTAAATGCTTTGGTCTTCAGGGATGGTCCAAAATATTGTGGGGGGGGGTGTCAAATGGTTCCTCCTTGCCTCTCACACTCACCCCAGAAGGAAACGTACACCAAACCAGTCAAGTGATTTTAGGATGCAAAGCATAAAATGCTGCAATATTTTTTTCTGGGAAATTCAGCCATGGGGTGGGCTGTGGGCTGTGGGCTCTCAACCCTCAAAGGTGAAACTTGGTGGAATTTAATGCTAACATCACAGACGCTTTCCATATTCTCTTTGGAAATCCAGTATCTTCTATCCTAAATTATACTAACTATCCTTAAAAGCATATTTTCCAATGCTTCACACCTTAATTCTTCTTAAACCAGGCTTTCAAATAGTTACTTCAATTAACTTATTTAAAACATTTCTATAGCTGCCCATCTTATAACCAGTGCTGGACAGCTCCCAATGAAATCCTTCTGAAATTCACACGAGTCAGTTTCAAACATCTAAAATGTGCCTTTTAGCCCTAATAAAGGAATTGAGTTTATAAAGCGCATTTGATATGTAATTGTAGATTATCCAATAGGATCAGAAAAAATGTTAAGCCCCAACAAGCCAGCTATTTCATGGTTTAACACATTTGCTCCAGGCTTCCTAGTTCAAAAGCAGCTAAATTTGACAGAGAGGTCGGTGATGATATGATGCTTTGTAGTTGTTGGACATAGGCATCCAGAACAATTTACTCATCTCACGTGTGTGGTGTGCTACATATATGACATCACTTATTGTCAGCTCCAGTTCTTGCGTATATCTGTCAAAGTCATCTTCCTTATTTTGCACACTCACTCACACGCCCATGATCATCCTGCCAGGTGAATGTCTATGGAGATTCTCAGTCACCCAGGTCATGGTTGCCCCAAAGAAAAACGAAGTCCATTTGCCTCTTGAAAAATTACCTTTGGAACTGCCAGGGGAATATGCCCTTAGTAGAAACCTGGTTAAACAGCCTCACTAAAGAGGTGATGCTAAGGAGTGATCCATTTTATTCAGCATCTCTTTTCCATTCCTCAGATGCAAAGAAAATATGCCAAAAGACTCTTCAAGTCTCTGTGCCAACAACAACAGCTTTATGACTTTCATTATTTGTTGGATTGTGTACTGTGAGAGGGACTAGAAACATTCAGGGCCTGTAGCAACCTGTCCCTTGGCAGCTGTCCCATTGTTCCGAAGGGGCTTGAAGGATGGGTTTTGACTCTCTCTAGGAAGGCCCTGCTATGTTTCCCCCAGGCCATTCCTTGCAACGAGGATCTGCAAGTCCCGTGGATGATGAAGCAGATGACAAGCCTGTCAATTGCAAGGATGGAGCATTATGCAGCACAGGAAATCCTCGAGTAACCAGGAATGAAGATCCTGTCATGGAGGCCTCTGGCTCCGAGTGCAAGTCCTGCTAAGCCTGAACATGGCAGCAGCCTTAGGGATCCCCAGTGGGGAGGCAGATGGACGGCGGGGCACCCCAGATGGGCTTTCAGCAGCCAGAAGTGAGAAACTCTGAACGAAATAAAATAACCTCCAAGCAAAATGGGCCACAAATGAGTCTGGGGAGTGAATCTTCCAGCTGCCAAATGCATCTGCAGCACAGCTCAAGGAGCAGGTTAGATGAGGGTGAGGAGGATGGGCTCTGTAGCTCAGGTCTCTACAAGGCAGAGAAGGGGAGTCTGCAGAAGGGCGCTGCATGCCAGTAAGAACGATGGGAGTTGTAGTCCAGGATCTTGGAACTTAACATTTCTGGCGGTGACCAACAGCCTAGGAGCTGGAGAGGATGGGAGGGCATCAGGCCTAGCTGGATGAGACCGATGGGAGTTGTGATCCCCAAACTCTGACATGACGACAGGGCTGGGTCGCCATGGTAACCGCGGCGCCGGGAGGGGAGAAGTTGGTGCCCGACCTGCGCATGCGCGCGGGCGTCCACCTCTTCGCCGGGGAGCGCCGATTGCGCAGGCGCAGCTGGAGCCCAAGCGCCGCCGCGGCCTACTCTTCTGCCGCTTCCTCCCTCCCTCCCTGTGACGTCAGAGCCCGGGAGGCGGGGCGGGGCGGGTCAGCTGACCGCGGGAGGGCGGGGGGAGGAGGAGGGCGGAGGGAGGAGGCCGGGCGCTACTGAGGAGGCCGCAGAGACGCCGCCGCCGCCGCCGCCGCGATGCCCTCGGAGAAGAGCTTCAAGCAGCGACGCACCTTCGGTGGGCCCGGGGGCAGACGGGCTGGGGGCGCCGCGGAGGCCGGCAGAGGCCTTTCCCCGCGCCGGCGTGGGCTGCGGGCGATGGGAGTTGGAGTCTTCCCCGAGGAAGACGGGAGGGGGGGAAGGAGTGGGGAGGGGGCCTGACTCAGAGCTTGGGTCCCGCTTCCCTTTGGCCGCAGTTCCTTGGCCCCACACAACAGCCCTGCGGAGGAGGCCGGGAGGAAGGAGAGGGCAGAGAGAGAGAGAGAGAGAGAGAGGCCCTTCCCCCTCCCTCCTTGCCTGGGAGTCCCCCCCCCGCTAGGAAGGACGGAGGGGCCTCGGGGGAGGAAGGATCCCCACACTGGGAATCCAAAAAGACACCCCCCCAACGACCCTCGCCCTTTTCTCCAGGAAGCCCCCCCCCAGAGCCTTGCACCTGCCCCCCCGCTGCCCCCGGAGAATATTGAGCACTCCAGCCCCTTCCCCAAGACCCCTCCAGTGCCCAGGGGTGCCTCCCCATGGGGATCCCCCCTCCCCCCATTAAACCCCGCCTGGAGCTGGGCAACCTGTCAGTGCAAGGGCTGCTTGTGCGGCTTCTTGGAATCCAGGCGTAAACAGGCCTGGCGACCGTCACTTCCGCCTGGCAGGCGGGCATCGTGGGCTGGCTGGCAGGCACACCTTCCCTGGGAGCCTGGAGGGCGCCTGGTTGCAAGTGCCGGTCAAGGTTAGGAGGCTGAGCGGGTCAGGCAGGGTGATCTGGGTCCTGGGGCGGTTATGTGATGGGTGGCAGGGGCTGCACGGGGCCTTCCTCTGCAAATGGAGGGGGGGGGGAGAAATAGTCCTGCAGCTCCCCAGGGAATCGCCTGTGTCCTGGGCATTGCCAGGGTCCCTGCAGCAAATGCGAATCCTTTCTTCAGGTGTCTAGTAAGACGACCTGATGGGCACCTCCGAACAACCGGGTTGTTGTGGTTGTGGAAAGGCTGAATCACAGGTGATTATTTCACTAATTGCATGGCTGACTGCAATACTCAGGGGCAGGTGACTTCCGACAGACCAGAGGCAGAAAAGCGGAAGAAAATATTGAGCATTTCCCTCCTCCCAGCAAATAAAAATAGGTTTTATGATTGGGAGGGGAAAAAGAAATATCTGCTCTTGCAAGACTTGTGAATTGGTTTGTTTTCTACTGGAGTTTTAAGTTCAGCTGTTAAATGGAATAATTCAGGCTTAAATGTGATTTTCTTTCTTTCTCTCTCTCTCTTTCTGCGTAAGAGGACTGTGTTTTGTGTGGTTGATTCTGTTTTTGTTCTGCCTAAACTGGTTTTCCTGCTCCTCTGGTAAGGCGGAAGAAGATCTGGGACTTTGTTTTGTTTTTGTGCTGCTGAAAATGAAAGTAAAGGTCACGTTTGCTGTTTGTTTTCCTTTACGAAGCAAATCTTATGTAGAACCTCGTCTAGGCCATAGCAGTAGAAATAACCACTGACTACCTTTGTATTTTTTGAAGGGGTTCATATTATACTTCGTTAAAGCTGATTTTAAACAAGTTTAATTAGTTTCTTTTTGTAGGATAGAATTTAGCAATAACTTTACTTTTTCCCCTTTTAGAACAAAGAGTAGAAGATGTCAGACTTATTCGTGAACAGCATCCAACAAAGATACCGGTGAGTTGGCTTCAAACTGGTCCGTCTAATGGTGAGACTTAGTTAACAGTATCAGCAGTATCCGAGGGCAGAGGGTCTAAAGGGTTAAACAGTTTGATGTTGTTGTAGTCATAATTAGTGAAAGATACTTTGACCTGTGTTGTTTATTTTAAAGAAGGGTACACATTTGTTTTGCTCCAGAGCTCAATTTCTGATTGCAGCTGGCTTTTCTTTTAATATGTAACTGACTGGAGAAAGGAAATAGATTGAAATAACAGGGAGAACTGGATTCACAAGCTTCCGATTTATTTTGAGAGAGGAAGATCTAGAGCAAGAGAAGAATTCGTTCCTCCAATGCAGTTTGAAGCTCCCTTTCGCTAATTCGTTAAGATGTTCTTGATAATATTTCTGTGGACCTTGAGTGAAAACTCAAGATTGCATGCCACAAAGGAACCAAAAGTATACTTCTATTGAAGCATCGCAAGACAGCAACAGAATCATTACTACAAAATAATAAGAAATTCATCCAAATGAATAAAGCCATATTAGACGTCGAAGAAAGAAATGGTGCCTATATTGATAACCGGTAGCCCTTCTCAATAATATCATTCCCAAAGGTCTGTTCCCTGTTGTACATCTAGTTGGGAAGGAAATACAGAAGACTTCCAAAACTTTGTGAGCTTGTGTAGGAAATAAGGAAATAGTGATAGAGCTGGACAGATCGGGCAGAGCAATAACAGAACAACAGAGTTGGAAGGGACCTCGGAGGTCTTCTAGTCCAACCCCCTGCTCAGGCAGGAAGCCCTATACCATTTCAGACTAATGGTTATCCAATCTGTTCTTAAAAACCTCGGGTATTCTTGGGCACTGAATCCAAGGCCCAAGAATAGTTCTGTTCACAAGGATTTCTCAAACACCTTGGAACCCCATCTGCTTTTGTTGACTTCAGCCTTTTGCAGCCCCTGTCCCAAGAGGGGCTTGGGCAGATCCGGAGGGGAGGGAGGGGCATTGGAGTTAAGGATATTCTCTGAATTGATTGCCTCTTTCTAGGGTAAACCTGCACACCCTTCTGTGGTGTAGAATTGTGTATCTAGAATAGAGGTCATCCACCTCCCAGAGGGCTCCTGACCTTGTATCACTCTTGTCCTGAGCCTGTTCCAGGGAAAGATGCCGTTGCTTTAAAGAGCATGTGATGGGCTTTGTTAAGAACATTTACATGGAAGGAAACCACCACCACCACCACCACCACAATGTTAAAATGACAAAACTGGATTAGAAGAAAGTAAAAAGGGGATTTCCATCCTCTGGTCCAATGATAGGCCCATGGAGGGTGCAATGTGACTGCTTGCCTGATTTTGCTGTGTTAGATGCTTGTGTAATTCTTGGGCAAATCCCATTGCAGGAAGTGTGCAGTTTTTAAAGTTCTGCTCACTGCAAAAGATAATATGAAACCATCATTTTCCAGTCATGTTCTCCCATCAGAGCAAGGAGCAAAATTCAGAATAGCCTGACTGGCATTGTCAGCATTGTAGACCAGCTGGGGGCCTTACCCCCCACCCCCTTCCTGCCCTTCCCTCTGGATTGTCCAGATCAATGGCTGATTAGGCTGCCTGCACATGTTACCCCTCCCCCCCACCTGGTTAAGGGCGTCATGTGGACCAGCCAGGAGAGTCTTTTGCCCCTGATCTGTTTGCATTTTCAAGGAAGGAAATCAGGTCAACTGCATGGAACAGACTCCTGAAAGGCCATTGGATGTAGCTGCTGAGATGATCCTTGGCAATTTTTAAAATTTATTTACCTCTCCATCATAAAAGTAACCTAGCAGAATTTGTGGTCTTTGGGAATAGCCTGCTAACTGAAGACATGATATCAAGAGTGTCTGGAGTTGGATGAGGGAGTAATTTCCATCAAATAAAGCAGTAAATAATTAAGGAATCACTGTGCATTTGTTCGTTTTCTTTGTTAACTTACATAATTGATTTGTTCATATATGTTGTAATACAGTACTTCTAATCCACCGCATCTGCGGGGATCCTGGGCAGTTTGCAACATCAAACATGAAAAAAAATATAGATGAGAATTAGTACAAGGAAAAAAAAATTAAGGCCTGGTAAATCTCAAGATAGGTATTATCATCAGCCAAAATTAAAATCAGCATATTTACATTTTTCCTTTTTTTCCCAGTGCCAAATGTAGCAGAACACACAGCCTTTTGTATTGGAACTATGAAATCTGTTACTTTGAAGAACATTAGTTTTTAAATTTGAAGCCCAAGTAGTCCTTTTTGTTTCCTTTTCTTTCCAAAAAGAACTAACAATGAGGCAAGCAGTTACATCCAGTTCCATTTTTATACCTGTCATATGATCTCTTTAGTCAAGTCAACACTGGCCTGTCTTAAGTAATGGCAGCAGTTCTGCATTAAATAGGCTTACATAATCTCTTTCAATGGCACTTCTCTCTTTCTCAATGACAAAAACTGTCAAGCTTTTGCTTAACAAAGAGCCAGGTTATACTGTATCAGGCTGTAAGGATCAAGCATTGTTCTGTAATTCAGAACATGTAAAAATTGGTAAAAAATGCAAATGATAGAACTCTTTTGAGCTGATCTTTCTGCATAGACTTTGTCTGGGAGCCAGTCTCATTGAAGTGTATAATTTATATTGTGTGGGCATGCATAGGATTGTACTGTAACCGTCTTGATGTAGTGCTTGGCTAATCAATTCCCTTAGAAAACTAATGCAGTTACTCTTTAGGTTAAATATTTTTTCTTCTGAGGCCATATTTACAAATGGCATCATTTCCTCAGTGGCCTCAAAAGAGCAGAGATAACGTCTGGGCAAATGTTGGATTGATGATGATGATCTGTAGTGCCTTTTATTTAAAACCTCATTTTTGTTACTTCCACGATTTCTCCTGCAATCGCCTCTATCTTCTCTTGTTTTAAACCTATCATGATAATTCTGGACACACTTCAGCAGGGTTTTAATTAAAAGAAAGGCAACTAGATCCACGAATATCAATATACCCTTTGTGTTGTTCAAGGTGTTGGTTTTAAATACTGCTGAGTAGAAATCACAGGTAACAATATGAACCCCGCTCTTGTAATACCAGTAAGCATGGGTTAGAAAAACATAGTTCCATTTTGTGCCAATCCAGACATAAAATGTGAATTTAAAGCTCCCCGTCTGTCACATTCCAACGTTTGCTTTTACTCTTGGCATCTTTTCCAGGTAATTATCGAAAGATATAAAGGAGAGAAGCAGCTTCCCGTTCTGGACAAAACAAAGTTTCTGGTCCCAGATCATGTCAACATGAGTGAGCTTATCAAGATAATCAGGTATTTAACCTGTAATCATTTGCATGCAAATTCACTTTTTGTGATACCTAAGAAACAAGAGGCCACCAGTTTTTATTGGGACTCTGTTGGCTAAGAACTCTAGGAATTGTTGTTCTGCAATATTAGGGGAGCGCCTAAGCCGAGACAAGCTACTATAATGGATAACTCAGCCAGGATTCCACAAGGCTCAGCTGACTTGTGGCAAAACCCAGATCTTAAAATGCAGCCTACTCAGGGGTAAAGCTGAAGAGGGGCAGGTGCTGTTGGGCTTTGGGTTGTCCCAAAGATGCTTTTCCAAAAGGCGACTGGACTTGCTTGGTTTTTCCTTGAAAACTTTTTGCTTCTCATCCAAGGAGCTGCTTCAGTTCTGACTGAATCAGTACTTTTGGGATAACCATGAACTAAACAACATCTCCCTAGACCACTGCTGGTTGGTATTGAGAAGGGTGGGTCTATTCCAACCTGAGCAAACTAGGTGGGACCTGGAAAAGAATCCCAGGGTCCGTTCAATGCATTGATGGAGGGGGGGGGGAAAGGATTCCGTTTTGTCAGCCCCTTCAAAATCTATGAACGGCCTTTGTGAGCCTGGCTGCGGTGGCAGGTATCCANTGTTAAATGGAATAATTCAGGCTTAAATGTGATTTTCTTTCTTTCTCTCTCTCTCTTTCTGCGTAAGAGGACTGTGTTTTGTGTGGTTGATTCTGTTTTTGTTCTGCCTAAACTGGTTTTCCTGCTCCTCTGGTAAGGCGGAAGAAGATCTGGGACTTTGTTTTGTTTTTGTGCTGCTGAAAATGAAAGTAAAGGTCACATTTGCTGTTTGTTTTCCTTTACGAAGCAAATCTTACGTAGAACCTCGTCTAGGCCATAGCAGTAGAAATAACCACTGGCTACCTTTGTATTTTTTGAAGGGGTTCATATTATACTTCGTTAAAGCTGATTTTAAACAAGTTTAATTATTCTTTTTGTAGGATAGAATTTAGCAATAACTTTACTTTTTCCCCTTTTAGAACAAAGAGTAGAAGATGTCAGACTTATTCGTGAACAGCATCCAACAAAGATACCGGTGAGTTGGCTTCAAACTGGTCCGTCTAATGGTGAGACTTAGTTAACAGTATCAGCAGTATCCGAGGGCAGAGGGTCTAAAGGGTTAAACAGTTTGATGTTGTTGTAGTCGTAATTAGTGAAAGATACTTTGCCCTGTGTTGTTTATTTTAAAGAAGGGTACACATTTGTTTTGCTCCAGAGCTCAATTTCTGATTGCAGCTGGCTTTTCTTTTAATATGTAACTGACTGGAGAAAGGAAATAGATTGAAATAACAGGGAGAACTGGATTCACAAGCTTCCGATTTATTTTGAGAGAGGAAGATCTAGAGCAAGAGAAGAATTCATTCCTCCAATGCAGTTTGAAGCTCCCTTTCGCTAATTCGTTAAGATGTTCTTGATAATATTTCTGTGGACCTTGAGTGAAAACTCAAGATTGCATGCCACAAAGGAACCAAAAGTATACTTCTATTGAAGCATCACAAGACAGCAACAGAATCATTACTACAAAATAATAAGAAATTCATCCAAATGAATAAAGCCATATTAGACGTCGAAGAAAGAAATGGTGCCTATATTGATAACCGGTAGCCCTTCTCAATAATATCATTCCCAAAGGTCTGTTCCCTGTTGTACATCTAGTTGGGAAGGAAATACAGAAGACTTCCAAAACTTTGTGAGCTTGTGTAGGAAATAAGGAAATAGTGATAGAGCTGGACAGATCAGGCAGGGCAATAACAGAACAACAGAGTTGGAAGGGACCTTGGAGGTCTTCTAGTCCAACCCCCTGCTCAGGCAGGAAGCCCTATACCATTTCAGACTAATGGTTATCCAATCTGTTCTTAAAAACCTCGGGTATTCTTGGGCACTGAATCCAAGGCCCAAGAATAGTTCTGTTCACAAGGATTTCTCAAACACCTTGGAACCCCATCTGCTTTTGTTGACTTCAGCCTTTTGCAGCCCCTGTCCCAAGAGGGGCTTGGGCAGATCCGGAGGGGAGGGAGGGGCATTGGAGTTAAGGATATTCTCTGAATTGATTGCCTCTTTCTAGGGTAAACCTGCACACCCTTCTGTGGTGTAGGATTGTGTATCTAGAATAGAGGTCAGCCACCTCCCAGAGGGCTCCTGACCTTGTATCACTCTTGTCCTGAGCCTGTTCCAGGGAAAGATGCCGTTGCTTTAAAGACCATGTGATGGGCTTTGTTAAGAACATTTACATGGAAGGAAACCACCACCACCACCACAATGTTAAAATGACAAAACTGGATTAGAAGAAAGTAAAAAGGGGATTTCCATCCTCTGGTCCAATGATAGGCCCACGGAGGGTGCAATGTGACTGCTTGCCTGATTTTGCTGTGTTAGATGCTTGTGTAATTCTTGGGCAAATCCCACTGCAGTAAGTGTGCAGTTTTTAAAGTTCTGCTCACTGCAAAAGATAATATGAAACCATCATTTTCCAGTCATGTTCTCCCATCAGAGCAAGGAGCAAAATTCAGAATAGCCTGACTGGCATTGTCAGCATTGTAGACCAGCTGGGGGCCTTACCCCCCCCTTCCTGCCCTTCCCTCTGGATTGTCCAGATCAATGGCTGATTAGGCTGCCTGCACATGTTACCCCTCCCCTCCACCTGGTTAAGGGGGTCATGTGGACCAGCCAGGAGAGTCTTTTGCCCCTGATCTGTTTGCAGCTTCAAGGAAGGAAATCAGGTCAACTGCATGGAACAGACTCCTGAAAGGCCATTGGATGTAGCTGCTGAGATGATCCTTGGCAATTTTTAAAATTTATTTACCTCTCCATCATAAAAGTAACCTAGCAGAATTTGTGGTCTTTGGGAATAGCCTGCTAACTGAAGACATGGTATCAAGAGTGTCTGGAGTTGGATGAGGGAGTAATTTCCATCAAATAAAGCAGTAAATAATTAAGGAATCATCGTGCATTTGTTCGTTTTCTTTGTTAAATTACGTAATTGATTTGTTCATATATGTTGTAATACAGTACTTCTGATCCACCGCATCTGCGGGGATCCTGGGCAGTTTGCAACATCAAACATGAAAAAAAATATAGATGAGAATTAGTACAAGAAAAAAAAAATCAAGGCCTGGTAAAACTCAAGATAGGTATTATCATCAGCCAAAATTAAAATCAGCATATTTACATTTTTCCTTTTTTTTCCAGTGCCAAATGTAGCAGAACACACAGCCTTTTGTATTGGAACTATGAAATCTGTTACTTTGAAGAACATTAGTTTTTAGATTTGAAGCCCAAGTAGTCCTTTTTGTTTCCTTTTCTTTCCAAAAAGAACTAACAATGGGGCAAGCAGTTACATCCAGTTCCATTTTTATACCTGTCATATGATCTCTTTAGTCAAGTCAACACTGGCCTGTCTTAAGTAATGGCAGCAGTTCTGCATTAAATAGGCTTACATAATCTCTTTCAATGGCACTTCTCTCTTTCTCAATGACAAAAACTGTCAAGCTTTTGCTTAACAAAGAGCCAGGTTATACTGTATCAGGCTGTAAGGATCAAGCATTGTTCTGTAATTCAGAGCATGTAAAAATTGGTAAAAAATGCAAATGATAGAACTCTTTTGAGCTGATCTTTCTGCATAGACTTTGTCTGGGAGCCAGTCTCATTGAAATGTATAATTTATATTGTGTGGGCATGCATAGGATTGTACTGTGACTGTCTTTATTTATTTATTTATTTATTAAATTTATATACCGCCCTATCTCCCTTGCGGGACTCAGGGCGGTGAACAGGCGATACTAAAAACCACGGTAATAAATAGTTTGTTTTAAAATCGAATTAAATAACGGGCCTGTTCTAAAAACACACCCGTAAAAAACCCCCACTGAAACACAATCAAGCTACGCCAGGCCGGCCGCACGGAATAGATGGGCCTTCAGGGCTCGGCGAAAAAGGCGCAGGTCCGCAACTGTACGTAGGTCGGGGGGTAGGTCATTCCAGAGGGTAGGAGCTGCCACAGAGAAGGCTCTCCCCCTGGGGGTCGCCAGCCGGCATTGTCTGGCCGACGGCACTCTAAGGAGGCCCTCTCTGTGGGAGCAGACTGGCCGAAGGGAGGTGTTTGGTAGGAGGCGGTCTTGCAGATACCTAGGTCCATTGCCATGGAGCGCTTTAAAAGTTGTTACTAACACCTTGAAGCGCACCCGGAAGGCCACCGGCAACCAGTGCAGCTCGCGCAGGAGAGGTGTTACATGGGAGCATCTAGAGGCCCCCCAAATCCCCCGCGCAGCCGTATTCTGAACTAGCTGGAGCCTCCGGGTGCACCTCAAGGGGAGCCCCATGTAGAGAGCATTGCAATAGTCCAGGCGGGAAACAACGAGGGCTTGAGTGACTGTGCGTAGGGCGTCCCGATCCAGAAAGGGGCGCAACTGGCGTATCAGGCGAGCCTGATGAAAAGCCCCCCTGGCCACGGCTGTCACATGATCGTCTAAA